GATAGGACTAGTTACTGGAAATGTGTGTGGCTTCTGCTGAAACTTTATTGCCAGTTCTGGTCACCGTAAGAAGCAACAATTCTGGTGGAACAAAAAGAAGAAATGTGTGGCGGTATAAAAGAAGTATTGGTGATTTATGGCATTTGAAGCAAGTTAAATTGCATGAGTAATTTTGAACTAAATTCTGAAATGCTGCTTGGGAAATACTGTTTGGTCACTGAGGCTGAGTGGACTGCTGTCTAGCAGAGATCTTGGAGTTTTGTACCTGTAGCAGTAGCACAGATTTTGAGTGTATCACTGCAGTGCGATTTATACAACCACAGAAAATATGACTGGATGGATTTCTACAGAAAAGCCCGATGTTTTGACGTAGAATAGTGCTGTATAATTTCTTTGTATTGGCAAGTAAGAAGGGAAGGGAAGCCAAAACACCTTTCTGTATGAAACTGAGTAGTGTCAACACTGGGACTTTCACTTTGTGTTTTATTTTAATGCCATCATTGTTGTGTAATGTGTTGCTAATCTATTCAGCAGAAACTAATACTCTTTTCATTCTATTAATGTGGCTTTTGATTTTTGGGAGACCTTAAGATGATAATTTTATTGTTGTGCACATCTCTGAGTAGCTGACATCACCTCTGTGTCTGGGGTTTGCTGAGAGAACCTAAAGCTCTTCTGTCTTCTTCACTGAAATCAAAAGTCTTACTTGATTGTTCTCTGCATCAGCTAATCTCTGTATCTCTTAATTTCTTTATGCTGAAAACTTCATAGCTACCCCATAGTTGAAGAAGCCTCAGCTTCCCCCCAACCACTTCTGTTGTTGTTACCACCTCTACAGCAACAATAAAATATGACCAAAGCACAGTGTGTTTGCTGCCAAAATATCAAAATGAGAAACTGTGTTGATAATCTTACAGTGATGCAAAAAGAGGGAGAATGTTTGGAAGGGATATCTCCAAGTTCAAGTCTTATTCAAGTCCATTGATCTGCAGAGAGCACAAAGCCCCTATTCATAGAATCATGGAATGGTTTGGGTTGGAAGGGACCTTTAGAGCTCATCTAGCCCAGCCCCTCTGCAGTGAGCAGGGACATCTTCAACTAGATCAGGTTGCTAGAGCCCCGTCCAGCCTGACCTTGAATGTTTCCAGGGATGGGGCCTCCACTACCTCTCTGGGCAACCTGTTCCAGTGTTTCACCACCCTCATTGTAAAGAATTTCTTCTTTATATCTAGTCTAAACCTACTCTGCTTCAGTTTAAAGCCATTACCCCTTGTCCTGTCACAGCTGTTCCTACTAAAAAGATTTTCCCCATCTTTCCTATAGGCCCCCTTTAAGTACTGAAAGGCTGCAATCATGTCTCCCCGCAGCCTTCTCT